TGGGGGGGGAGGGGAGATCTCACTGCACTACCTCTGAGACTACAGAAGCAGCAGCTCTATCAGAGGAGGGACACATTTTTACCAAATGCATTAGACCAGAGTGCTCTGCCCGTCTTTGTCATCTTGTGGTGTCCCTACAATCAGCAACAAAAGGAGGGATAAAACAAGTGTAGAAATCTTAGCCTATTTAAAATTAGCCCAGTCTGACTATATTACAGGGAACAACCCTGGTCCCAGGAATGTACTAGATCAGTGTTTCTCAAACGGTGCTCCGTGGAGCCCCAGGGCTCCACGAGACATCTCTAGGGGCTCTGCGAGGTTGACAAACTGGAAACATCAATAGCTACAACACATACAATCAATGGACCGCTGGGGCTCCGCATAAATTTTTACACGTGTAAAGGGCTCCGGAGCCCAAAAAGTTTGAGAACCGCTGTATTAGATTTTGCAACCATTTGTTTCACTACAATTCTGAGTCAGTATGTTAGATCCTCAGTTATAGCACTGTCAAGTGGTCACCCCTGGATATAGAAACCTGCATGTTGATAATGATGGTGATGATGATGGGGATGGCCACTATGATCATTTCCCATATGATATGTGAAGCTTCTTCCTATGTTACATCAGCTGCATCAGAAACATCAAAAAAGTTTCAATGTGTTATTAGCTTGCAAAGAAGAGTGTACTGAATCCTGGATCTGATTATTACAGGCAATCAAAATTAGGTTAACCATCAAAAGCAAGTTAAATTTTCAGGAATAGTGAACATCGTTTCACTCCTGTTTCATAATTTTGCTTCCCAGGGCAATAATGCACAGTTTGAACATTATGTGCCTGCTGGTTGTTCTTAAACAAAATATCTATAACTTACCATGATGCTGCAAGTCAGAACAGTGAGTGAGTGGATCTCCATTTCGGATATCTTGTCGTCTAGTACGCCTAAAAAAAAAATCACATTGGAAAATGTTATTCACTCTCTCAAGATGAAAATACATATTTGTGTTACATAATCCAAAAAATAAGGGCAGAATTATTTACACTTTAATGAGCATGCAACATTACATTGAACATAGTATGTAAGGGAACTCATAGTTTATTGTATTCTATAACATATAACATATAAACATTTGAGATAAACTCTCAAATTAAGGATCCAGTCTTGATAAATGCATGTGAATGTATAACAACCCACCCTAAAAACACTGGTTATGAGTAAATTCATTGGTCTGTTGAAATATAGCTCAATAAGAGTCCATCATGTACAAAGTGCTGCCTGTTACACATATATTGAAAATACAAGTAATTTAAAATGGCACCATCTTGTCTACAAACTGAAATTATGTTAAATAGTCTACATTTATCCTTAGATTCTTTTAGATCAGGGCTACTTAACACGTGGCCCATGGGCCTCATGCAGCCCGTGGTGCAGTTTGGATTTACATGGGGCTCAACAATGTGGCCCGTGGGTGGGAGCCAAAACAAAGAAGTAGTAAATATAATAGTCTTCTGTTGATATGCATTTTAGTAGTTAAATTCCTGGACTGTCATTGGCATTCCAGAGCTGTCATAGGGGTGGAAATCAGGTAAACATTGCATTTTATTAACATCAGCAGCACTGACTTAAATGGGGCCTGCGTGTTGTGTAGTCTTGCCTTAATCTTTGTATTCATGCCCATCAGTGTGAAAGAAGCTATTTGCATATATTTGCATACACATTTGCATGTATATGCAACCACACTTAATTTGCGGCCCTTGGCATGTGCTGTGAATATCATTGTGGCCCCGAGGGCTTCCAAAGTTGAGTTGCCCTGTTCTAGATTATAAGCAAGTGTCTTGGTTGGCAAACTGCAATATTTAAGGACATAACGTATTTATAAATGGATAGAATAATATGTAACTCAAATTTTGTCTGGTTTAACCAAAATCTTGGATCTAAATGCATTTGCAAGTTTTTGCAAGTGGCTTTCACCTTTAGTATAGAAGGAATTAAAATTCTATGTCCTTGAAAAATAGTGTATCCAAGGTCCAGATTTACATATTTGCAGCTTGAGGCCCCCTCTAGTTCTTATCACAGTCTCATTTAATGTAACTTTATATTCTACCTCCAATTTGCTCTCCATCTGTTCTCTTTGATAAAGTGTTGATCTGTTTGAAAAATGTTATATTTAAAGAAAAACAATACAGTTCTCTTTTATTTGCATTTGTTGTGCTTGCTTTGTCTGTGTCTTTTCTACCTAAACAGCTGTGGTACAAAACTCAATTCAGCCCATGGAAAGGAGTTTCATTTAAAAAAGAAGAAAAGAACAGGACAAACAAAGATGTGTTTTGAGAACAAGCACTTTACTTGGAGAATAGGAGAAAAACAGAAGGGTTGCAAAGTCAGGAGAGAGCAAAGAGGATTAGGTGGCTGAACAATGTTGAGATGTCAGATTAGGACATCCAGTGACACATGTGAAAAAGTGAAGTATCCTTGTAAGAGCCACACTTGATCTCACCCTCTAGTCACAATGGTCCAAATGAAGCAAACATAATGGTTTCTGCAATGCAGAGATCTGTACTTACTGCTCCTATCTTTAGAGTGAAAATCAGCTAAAGCACACTCATTAACAACCCCAAAGCAGAGGATTCTCTGTTGGAGATTAACAGCAGTGGAATTTGATTCTGGATCTGGGTGGGAATTTTTTGACACACACAGTGAAAAAATGCTGATTTGTTGAAATCAAAATTGTTTGTGAGCAGAGAGTTATTTCCACAAAATTCCCTTTTCTGAAATAAAAACCACCTAAATTTCATTTTCAAAAGCAATTTAAGCAGAGAGGAGCATAAATTTCAATGACATCTATGCATTATTGAACTTTTAATCCAATACTTATATATTTAACCCAGAACTTCTTCATCCACAGATTTCATGGTGCATCTCCTTAGTTCTCCCTGGTAGGCTAGATGAAATTTCATAATGCCATGAGGCTATTGCATATTGTGCATGTCTGAACAAACTTTGGGTGAAGGGAGAAATGTGCCGGAAAATGGCTGTCACATCCCATACAAATGTTCATATTTCAGAAAAGGAATTTTTTTTGGAAATCACTCTTCTCACAAACAATTTTGATTTCAAACAGATCAGCACTGTTTCTTGTAGAAGTTGTCTATACTACATCAGAAGGTCGAAATAAGAGTTGACACATTTTACATTGCATTTCCACTCCATCCCTACAGTGGGAGGCCAATTGGAGCAAACGGTCACATCAACTTCCATTACTCCTCATGAGGAAAAGGAATACTGGTGCCAACAGCAGCACCCACTAAGTTCAATGTAGTGTGTTCACATTTGGCCCATTAAATCAAACCCTGGAAGATTGATCGCAGCAGCATTGATCTTCCGTGTAGTGTAGATGTGCCCATAAAGAGTGTAAAAAAATTCTCCCACACATCCAGAATCAAGTCCTACAACTGATACCCCCAAGTCTTATTTTCTAAGGGTATGTCTACACTTGCTCCCTAGTTCGAGCTACGGATGCAAATGTAGCGAACCGAAATTGCTAATGAAGCGGGGATTTAAATATCCCACGCTTCATTAGCATAATCTTGCCTGTTTGTTATTCTGCTCAACAGCTGATTCAAACCAGGAAGTGTGCTCCTGGACACGTTGGTTCGATTTAAACCCCTTGGTTCAAACTAACATTACTCCTCATTTTTTGGTCTGCTACATTTGCATCCCTAGCTCGAACTAGGGAGAAAACGTAGACATACCCTCAGTGATTTAGGGATTAAGGAGTCTAAGTTTTAATTTATTTCTGAAAATGCTACTTACGCAGTTTTGAGCACTTCACCTTGGGTGTAAAATCCCACTGAAATGCACTGTAAACAGATGGTCAGTGGGACTTAGACACGTCTGATAATGTTACTCATTATTATGTTTTCCAAAGTAATAACCCAAAAAGGTCATGAAAACATTTTAATTGAGGGTACATGACTGTGCTTAGGAGCACATTCTGAAGATATACATCATCTCTCTCACACACTCATTCCAGTGCTGGATATTTTCCCTGTATTTTTTTCCATGGAAAGCTAGTTGCAATATGGGTGACTCAGAACTACACCCAGGTCCAAATGAGCTGCAAATGCAATTTTGACATCCCCTTCATAAATTCCACAGGGCAACTTTTTATAGAATTCTAGTATAGGAATTAGGCCTCATAAAAATCACATTAATATTAATGGATTTTGAATCAAGTTTTCAGTTAGCAAATATCACACATTTCAGCATTAGGAAACAGGAGCTCCAAAACATCTGCACAAGATTCAGTCAAACGGTCACACTGTAGACTTTCATAACAGTCACTTAGGCTCCCTAAAGATACACTGAATGGGAAATATATATGAGACAGAAAGATAAATAAAACAGCTATAAGCAAACCATGCACCAAGACACAACATTCCCAAAACTTGTGGAGTCTGGAATTAAAGGAATGTCTTGACCATTGCATTTGAATTCTTCCCAGTAATGGTCATTCTGCAGCAGGTGTATTTAGTTTCTCTTCTTTACCTCCTTATGGAGAATTATTTTGCTTCAAATTATCTCAATAGACTGATGCAAAAATGAGAATGCATGTTCCATAAGCAGTGTTTTTTAAGTGTTTGCCTGGGATACTTTGAGGTACAAAGGTTGACATTTCAGTTCTCACCAGCTGAAGTATCTATTCTATAGTGGAAATTCTCCCCACTGTTCGTTACATTATCCCTACTCCAGCAGCCAACCAATCCTTCCCCGAAATTAAATACATTTTGGGACATGACATTTCTAGCTGTAGTTATTGTAAACTTTAGCTACAAGATGAAGTTTGGCTCATCTGTACGTAAATGCTTATGTCTCCTTTGGTTTAAGACACATATGGGACATTTCCTTTTACATTATCAACTTCTGAGCTTTTTTTTTTTCTTCAATAATTTACCTAATATTCTGAAAGTTAGGTGATAATATGCTGATCATGGGCCAAATTCTGATCCTTTTTGCAACCTTTTTTATCAATTAATTTCTTCAGCTTTACACCCTAGTAACTCTCAGAAGATAATAAACCTTTGCCTTAAGTTAATTCTCAATAGGAATAGATCTAAATTTTTGTTGGAGGATAAAAACTTGAAACCAACCAACTACTCCACAGTACAGAGAAACAATTTGGACATTGTTTTTCACTTATGGGTCTTCATGTTTCTTCACGGTGCACATCATGTAATCATTTACATCAGAGCAAAGAAAGTGTAAAATGGAATCAGATCAGAATAGCCAGTCTTTGCACAAGTTTTAGAATAATGGAAAATCAGGTGCTAGCTGTCCATTTTCATTGATCCCCAAATCCTTTATCGTTCAGTTGGCATCACAACAACTTTTGAAAGTGTAGGACAATGATGTTACAGTTGTTAAGTACCTGTATTCTTCAGTGTGCAATGATTGCAGGACCAAGTCCCCCATGTATTTTTTCTCCCATTTTAGGGAGAACATACTTTTTATTGTTGACATTTCTCCTGACAGTATGTTTCTATTTCAAAGATGGCACTTTTCTGGCAGTTTTTTTTAATCACAAACTTTCCAAGACATTCCAAGAAGTGGCAATGTTCACTTACCAAAACTTGATATTACTTGTAACTTTCACAAATATATTGCCTTTGAAATAGAAAGGGCCCCAGTTAACCATCCTATGAAAAATCTCTAAAGCCCCGGATTACATGTGAGATCAGCAAGTAAGCAGACATCTGCAACTGTCCCTACCTCTTAGCAGTGGGGAAGTAACGCGAGCACGAAGAGCCATCCCAAGCACAGTAAGGGTCTCTAGCAAGGCAGCATTCAGCACATGCTTTTCCATACACATCGCAGCGGTGCAAAGGAAGCTGTGAAACTCCAATAGCCGAGCCAATGTAGAGTTGTTGCTGTGAAATAGGTGCAAGGTTGCAAATAGTCAGGTTTCACTGGAAAGACATGCAACATACGTCACAAAATATATGTAGTGAGTGCTGCTTCTGATCTCATTTACATTGGTATTACACCATTGTTCTCCTAGGCTGTGTCTACACTGGGCCACTTATTCCGGAAAAGCAGCTGCTTTTCTGGATAAGCTGGGAGCTGCCTACACTGCCCCCTTGAATTTCCGGAAAAGCAGTGACGATTTACTGTAAGAAATCAGCTGCTTTTCCGGAAAAACTATGCTGCTCCCGCTTGGGCAAAAGTCCTTTTTCCAGAAAACTGTTCCGGAAAAGGGCCAGTGTAGACAGCACAGTAGTCTTTTCTGGAAAAAAGCCCCGATCGCGAAAATGACGATCAGGACTTTTTTCCGGAAAAGCGGTCTACATTGGCCACAGATGCTTTTCCGGAAAAAGGGCTTTTCCGGAAAAGCAGCCTGCCAGTGTAGATGCTCTTTTTCCGGAAATACTTATAACAGAAAACTGTTCCGTTTTAAGCATTTCCGGAAATTCATGCCAGTGTAGACACAGCCCTACTGATTTCAGTGATATTACTTCTAATTTACACTCAGGTAAGCAAGAGGGCAATCAGCCCCAACATTTAAAAAAATACAAGAAAGAACATTATTTCTGCTTTCTATTGGATAAATTCTGGTGCTGATTCCTATGTGAAACCTCAGTTCAGTTAATGGAATTGCCGTGGGTGAATTGAGATAGACTATGACTCTACATTCCTATCTTTCAATAACATAAAAATGGTCATATTGAGTCATACCAATGGTTCATCTAGCCCAGTATTCTGCTTTTGCCAGTGGCTGGTACCAGACGTTTCAGTGGCGTGAACAGTGACCCATCCCTTTTCTTCCAGTCCCAGCTTCTGTTTAGGGATACCCAGAGCATGGGATTGCATCTCTGACCATCTTGGCTAATATTCATTGATGGATCTATCCTTTATGAACTTTTCTAATTATTTTTTATCCCACTTTTACTTCTGTCCATCACCTAACAATTAGTTGCACAGGTTGACTGTGTGAAGAAGTAGTTCCTTATGGCAGCGTTTCTCAAACTGTGGGTCCTGACTCCCTGGGGGGTCGCGAGCAACTTAGAGGGGGGTCGCGAGCAACTGAGAGGCTGGTTGCAGCAATGGAGAGGGGGGGGGTCACGGTATCACAAGTTTGAGAACCCCTGCCGTATGGGGTTGTAATCCTGCAGCCTATTCATTTCATCGGGTGACCCAAGGTTCTTGTATTATGTGATGAGGTGAATAACACTTCCCACATCACTTTCTGCACACCATCCATGACTTCATAAACCTCACATCCCCACTTAGCTTTCTTTTTTGTAAGATCAACAGCCCCAGTGTTTTAAAAATGTTCTCATATGGAAGCAATTCCATCCCCCTAATCATGTTTATTGCCTTTCTCTGTACCTTTCTCAATTCTAATGTCTCTTTTGTTTCTGAGATGGGCAACAGGAACTGCATGTAGTATTTGATGTATGGGTATGCCATAGATTTAAATAGTTGCATTATACTTTCTATCTTATTATCTATTCCTTTCATAATGGTTCCTAACATGGTTAGCTTTTCTGACTGCTGTTGCACATTAAACAGATGTTTTCAGTGAACTATGCAGAATGACTCCAAGATCTTCCTTGAGTGGTAACAGCTAAATGAGCCCACATCATTATGTATGTATAGTTAGGATTATGTTTTCCAGTGTGCATTACTTTACACTTATCAACATTTTTCATTTCTGATTTTGTTTCCCAGTCAACGAGTTTTATGAGATCTTTTTGCAGGCAGCTTTGGACTTACCTATCTTTAATTTAATATAATCTGCAAACTTTGCTACCTTTTTTTGAATATGTTGAAGAGCACAGCTCCAATACAGATGCCTGGAGGAGTCTGCTATTTATCACTTTCCACTGAGAAACCTGACCATTTATTCCTATCCTTTGTTTCCTATATTCTAACCAGTTACTGATCCATTAAATGACCTTTCCTCTTATCTCATGATGGCTTATTTTGCTGAAGAGCCTTAGTGAGGGACCTTACCAAAGGCTTTCTGAAAGTCCAAGTATAGTGTACCCAATGGATCACCTTTGTCCACATGCTTGTTGACACCTTCAAAGATTTCCAATAGATTGACAAGGATGCTTTCACTTTAAAAAAGCTGTGTTGACTCTTCTCTAACACAGTATTCAACTATGTGTCTGATCATTCTGTTCTTTAACAAAGTTTCAACCAGTTTGCCTGGAATTGAAGTTAACTTTGCTGACCTATAACAGCCAAGATTAGCTCTAGACTAGAGCCTTTTTTTTTTAAAGGTATTATATTAGCTATCTTCCAGTCATTTGGTACAGGGCCTGTTTTAAATGATAGGGTAAACAGTACAGAAACTCAGCAATTTCATATTTGAGTTCCTTTAGAACTCTTGGGCAAATACCATGTGGTCCTAGTCACTTATTGCTGTTCAATTTTTTCAATGTATTCCCAAACCAGGTCTACTGACATCTTATTCTGGGACAGTTCCTCAGATTTGTCCCCTAAAAATAATGGCGCAAGTATGGGAATCTCCCACACATCCTCTGCAATGACGACTGATTGAAAACTCAAGGAAGACAAGGCAGTTGCAAAGCAGCTAAATTTTTTTTACTTAGTGCCTTGATTGCCAAGTGGCCCCATCAGTTGTTTGGCAAACTTCCTGCTTCTGAAGTACTTAAAAATATTGCTATGAGGTTTGGTATCTTTTGGTACTAGCTTTTCCGAATATTTTTTGGCCTGCTTAATTATACTTTTACACTTGACTTGCCAGAGTTTATGTTCCTTTCTATTTTCCTCAACAGTCATACACTTCCAATTTTAAAAGATGCCTTTTTGCCTCTGTCACAGAGTCACAGGGTCTAGTCTCTGCCTGGCATGAGTCTCGTGGGAGTGACTCCGTTAATATGCTAAGCCCTTATGGACACACACAGAATCCCACAGGTGCAGGCTTATGGCCTTCAACCAAGAGTGGACCATCAGCACTGGTGTTCCCTTGTCTCCATGGGAACTCTGTAGGAGGCTTGTACTGTGATCCTTCGGGGTGTAATGCTCTCAGTGAGGATTTACAGCGATACAAGCGACGTTTTTCTCCAAACACAATAGACATGTATTAGTCACCTGGGTGACAGAATCTTAAAGTCCTCAGGCTAATACAGAAAGGCAGAAATCCAGTCATAGTCTCTCTTGGTTAAGCCAGTATCCTGACGGACAAGTCAAGCGATAAGGGACTCTCTCTCTCACTCCCTATACACTCTTTTGCCCTCCTTTTCCAGGTTCCTGAGCATCTCCAAAACACCACCTTTCTTTCAGTCACCTGACCCGTTGTTTCCAAGCTCCACCGCCAGGGTTCTAGCAATTAAGAGTTCATTGTTCAGTCACTGGGGCATCTCTTTGTCTCTCTGGACATGCTGTTGATTTGGGCTGTGTTCAGTAATTCTTTAATGTTCCTGTCCATTACCCTTGGAAGGCAAAGACTTCTACATTTGCTCCCTAGTTCGGACTAGGAATGCAAATGTAGGCAACTGAAATTGCTAATGAAGCGGGAATTAAAACATCCCGCGCTTCATTAGCAAGATCTCACCAGGCACACTAGTCTGAATCACAGCTGATTCGAACCAGGAAGTGCGCGCCGGGATGCGGTAGTTTGAACCAAGGGCTTTGGTTTGAAATTCCACGTCCCGGCACATACTTCCTGGTTCAAATCAGCTGTGATTCAGACTAGTGTGCCTGGTGAGATCTTGCTAATGAAGCGCGGGATGTTTTAATTCCCGCTTCATTAGCAATTTCAGTCGTCTACATTTGCATCCCTAGTCTGAACTAGGGAGCAAATGCAGATGCACCCACAGACACACAAACACCATCCTACTTCTTATTCTGTTTCAGAAGCAAACTTAACAGGTATTTTTTAAGAAATAAACTGGCTAGCAATGCCACATATGAAGGGAAACTGAGGCACATATAGGATTTATACAAATATTACAGAAAAGACCCACTTTTTCACCATTACTTTTACGTAGCAGTAGAGCCATATTGGCATTCTCTGTTGTGGTCTTACTGTATTGTTTTGTGGGGTTTTTTAAAATTTGGGGCATATATTTAGTTTCATCCTCTGATATGGTGTTTTAGAGTTTCCATACATCTTGCAGGCATTTCACTCTTGTGACTGTTTCTTTTAATTGCCATTTAACTAGTTTCCTCATTTTTGTGTAGTTTCCGATCTTGAGGTTAAATGCTACTGTGGTGGATTACTTTGCGATTTTCCTCCTGACAGTTGCCTCATTTACACTCCCACATTGGCAGGCCCATGCAAGTGAGTTCACCCATGTTAGAATTTAAAATTCTATCATTTTTATAAAATCACTTATAATATTTGTCAATACTTAGTCGTGTGCCTTTCTGTGATATAATTGAACAGGACTCTTTTTCATGTGATTGCTTCTCTTCAATTCCTACTTGTATTTTATGATCAACTTCTCTTCTTTTTTACTAGGATATATTGTATCCCCTTAATAAATCCTTCCCAAAATGAATGTGTCTTTTTCCAAATCTCATGCTCCTCCACACCCACTGGATTTCTCTCGTCCCTTCATTTAAAAAGAGTCAGATTCATAGAATCATAGAATCATAGAATAATAGAACTGGAAGGGACCTCGAGAGGTCATTGAGTCCAGCCCCCCGCCCTCAAGGCAGGACCAAGCTCCGTCTACACCATCCCTGACAGATGTCTATCTAACCTGTTCTTAAATATCTCCAGAGAGGGAGATTCCACCACCTCCCTTGGCAATTTATTCCAATATTTGACCACCCTGACAGTTAGGAATTTTTTCCTAATGTCCAATCTAAACCTCCCCTGCTGCACTTTAAGCCCATTACTCCTTGTCCTGTCCTCAGAAACCAAGAGAAACAAATTTTCTCCTTCCTCCTT